CATGGAGCAACAGTTGTTCCCATTGTGAGTGTGATAGCCCCAGAGAAGCTGTCAGCCAGCACAAGGCGGCGGTATGAAATTCAGGTACACACTTCTAACGTGAGCCACAAAGAAGGAATGTGGCAACGGGAAGAGACATGGAATTTCTTTGCATCACTCAGGTGCCAGGATTCAGCAGCCCCCTTTCCTCTTAGAGAGGCATCAGCTGTTGTCAGAATGACTAAGTGTAAATAGAACCTTGCCTCTGGGGCAGCTGGGGGTGGTTTACTTTTGTTCTAAGTAACAAAGCATTAGAAGTCAATCACAAGGCGTGAAGCAGTGTCTCGCTGAGTACACGTTTTGGTGTCTGTGCTACACCTGATGCTGTGCTGCTGGTCGTGTAAACGGCACAACCCCAGTCCTCAGAGAGCTAACCTTAGAGGCACACACAGTATATACTGAGAACAGAAGAAAATGAGTGAGGGGATGCCACGCTGACCATACTGAATCTGAGTGTCAGTGTGCCGTGGACATTTGGGGAAGGGTGTGAGGACAGCATTCATTGCTCAGAAATGTAATTAGACTGAACTACAAAGATCAAGTTCTTCATTTCTGTAAGCTCTCCCAGCTGTTTCTCAAGATTTGGTGGGCACATATTTCTCCTGTCCCCTACAGCCTGTCATATTTGTTTCACGTTCTCATTGCTGTCACCTTCCTTTTTTTCAAAATTCAGTTAATCTTAAAGTCTCTCTGCCTACTTACTAGCATCACTTCAAAATATTAAGGTACTAGGGGTTTAGCTCAGTGATACACAAGATCCTGGGTTTGATCCTCAGGGACACTCCCCCTACCCAGATTAAAAAGAACTAAGGGACACTGGGCAGGGTGGTGCATGCCTGTAATGCCAGCACTTTGGAAAACTGAGGCAGAAGGATCACAAATTCAAACCCAGCCTGGGCAACTCAGCAAGAACCCGTTTCAAAATAAAAAAGACTGGGGATATAGCTCAGAGTGAAGCCCTTAGGTTCCATCCCCAGTGCTAAAAAGGAGGGACAAAAAGGAACCCTAAGCAAGAAGAGGAAGAGAAGTTACTAAACAAGGCAGGTTGTAAAATCTCTGCAGTGGACCCAGATCAAATCTTTAGACACTGTTTAGAATTCTTTTTAGGCTTTAGTTTGTCACAGGGATTGTTTTCTGGTACAGGAAATAAGATGACTTGGTTTACTATGTTCTGAATTCCCTTTTCTTCTTATTAGGTACAAACCCGACTTCAGACTACCCTTGCCAATTTACATCAGAAAAGCAGTGAAATTGAAATTTTGGCTGTAAGTTGCTTTCTCTAACATTTCGAAGTTGGCTTATCCCACTACTTAGTGTGCCCTCAAAGTTCAGGGCTCCTTTGCTCAGGGTCAGCAGTATTTGGATGCAAACCTTGTTACTGCTGTGGCTCACATGCAGTCTGAACCTGTAAAGAATTGGGGAGAGCCAGGCGTGGAGGCGCATGCCTGTAATCCCAGCACTCGGGAGGCTGAGGCAGGAGGATCGTTGCAAGTTCGAGGCCAGCCTGGTCTACAAAGTGAGTTCAAGACCAGCCTGAACTGCATATTGAGACCCTGTCTCAAAAGACAAAAAAAAAAAAAAATTGGGGAGAAATGGATGGAACTAAAGCCCATCACATTAAGCAAAATAAACAGACTCAGAAAGACAAGTGTCACATTTTCCCTAATGTGTGGAACCTTAAAAAAGATGACATGGAAGTAGAAAAGACACTATTATTAGACAGGAGAATCAGGGGAAGTGAATGTAAGGGAAGGTAATAGAGGGATGGATACATTCAAAATATTTCCTATGATGTATGGAAATACCACTAAAACCTAATATTTTGTAAAATTGACAGGCACTAGTTAAAAACGTTTTTTAAAAAAAGAACTAGAGAGGGGGTCAGGGATATAGCTCAGTGGCACAGCACCTGCCTGGCAAGCACAAGGTCCTGAGTTCAATTCCCAGTACCAAAACAAAACAAAAACAGCTCTTCTTGGGCAAGTTGCTTAACCCACCAGTCTGATGCTGTAAAAAAGAACTAGGGAGAAAACTGAAGGACTGTGTTTGTTTCTTCTCTTGCTTCCTCTGAAAGATGGAGGCAGGAAGGAAATGACAACCAAAATCATTTTTCTGTATGTTCCAGGCCTTTGCCTTGCCAGGCTTATACTAAGTACATGTAGTTAGCAGTGTCAAACCTTTGGGGTGGTGTGAACAGATCTATGGACAGTTTCTGAGGCCTGTTAGCTCACAAGGCTGAGCCCACTGTACACTTCATTAAGTCTGCTTTACAGCACAGTAGTGGGCCTGGGATATAGCTCAGTGGTGCAAGCACCTGCCTCGCAAGCAGAAGGTCCTGAGTTTGATTCCCGGTACCAAAAAAAGAATTATACCACAGTATTATTTCACACTATCAGCCCCAAAGTGACACCATGGTCCCAAGTCATTATGTGCCACTTGAGAGTTCTCTGATGTTGTACATTTCCATGTATTGACAGGTGGATCTACCCAAAGAAACAATCTTACAATTTTTATCACTAGAGGTAAGCAGTATGAACTGTTTTACACTGTGGCCTTTGCTGTTAATTTGCCAAAAGATAATTGAAAACAGTATTATGTTTTCTTAGCAATATTATTTTTCTTTCAGTGCCAAAAATTTAGTAACATTAGCCCCTTTTGTGTTTTATATATATTCCTAAATCAGGGTCACCCAGCTAAGTAGCAGAGTCAAGATTTGAACCTCGCACAAACTAGCACCATGTGTGTTCTTAGCATTATATTATGTTCTTACATAAACCTAGGGAAATTCACCTGCAGATTAGAACTATACAGAAGTTTCTTTTGTTGAAATTTAGATCCTTTTTTTGGGTCGTCTTTACAGGTACTGTACATATCTTTAGCATCAGATAGCCTAAATAAGGACATTTACATTTCTGAAGTTACCTTTCCTAGTAATACTTACGGTTTCTTTCATATTAAATTTTATCTTGCTCTCACAAATAAGCATACACCACTACACTGTGGATTTGCTGATCTGTGATCCAGTCAAATGGATACACATTGGAGGCAATATTTCCATTTTATATAAAATGAACAGTGGGCAGAAATAACTGATCTAAAGTCACAGTAACACACCAGGGCTGAGGCATCTAGCCTCTACCTAGGGACTTGTCTTGATTTGAAGAAAATTAATGCTTCAAAGGAAAAGCCCCAGCAGCATCCCCTCTGGTGCTCCCTCCCTAAAAAGGTCCCTTCTGCTCTACCTGAAGAGAACATTGGCATTTTATTAGTGACCAAGCGAAGGCCAGGTAACAAACCCTGCTGCCCTGTTAAGTCTTATCTGTTTTTTCCTAGTGGGATGCTGATGAACAGGCATTTAACACAACTGTGAAGCAGCTGCTGTCGCGCCTGCCGAAGCAAAGATACCTCAAATTAGTGTGCGATGAAATTTATAACATCAAAGTTGAAAAAAAGTAAGCTATCACTTAAGCACAGCAGGTTTCAATGGTTAAAACTGAGGAACTTCAGACTGACACTTTATAGTCCTGTTGAGGTTGTTGGTTCTTCCCCCCACCACCCCCGGGAATCGAACTCAGGACCTTGCGCTTGCCAGGCAGGCACTGTGCCGCTGAGCTAAATCCTCAGCCCAGTCCTGTTGCGTTCCGATAGCTGATAAGCTGTTAGAACTGCAGCTGGCCACAAGTAAATCTTACCTGGTTTGCAAATCATTCTTGACACTCAATAATCAAACATGGTACAGCAGGAACTATCCCAATTATAATTCTGTTCACCCAAGTAACTTACTTCTCAAAGTATGCTGCTGTCACACTGAAATGAAATGAAGTAACTGGGACTGCTTTGTTTTATATCCTGTTACTCCTGAATCATTCCAACCCAGGGGCCACAAGGGCCTGTGAGGTCAGCAGAGGTCTGCTTACATTGCAGACCCTTGCCAGTCTCAGCTTCTGCAAAACTTACTTTTTTAGCGTTAGCTGTCCGTCTGGTTTCTAATTAAACACAGCTCCTACACTTAAGTGTTCTAAAGGTATTTAGTCTGTTCTTTACCCACTCAACTGAGCCTGTCATCATCTGCCTTTTCCCTTCTTTTGCAGGGTGTCTGTGCTGTTCCTGTACAGCTACAAAGACGACTACTATAGAATCTTATTTTAATTCTAAGGAACGGTCACTACGCTGTTCAATCAGGGCCTTATAGCAAAATAATGAGATGTACATTCACCGTCACTTTAACCCTAAGCAGCTGTCCTACAAAGCTGAGCTTTGTCAGTTTTTCATGTGTAATATATTATAAATTTATCTTTTTGGATATAATAAATGTTTTCATATATTTGCTGCTTTTTAATTATAACTTGTAAACACTCAAGTCTTACAGAGCTGGAACACAAGGAAACAGCCTTGTTCTTCCCTTGACCCTAATGACTAAGGCATACAAAACGGTGCTTACTTAAAAGGCACAAAAAGATCAAAATCACCAGGCATAGTAGTGGTCATTTGTAACCCCCAACTACTTGAGGGGCTGAGGCAGGAAGATCAAAAATTGGAGGCCAGTCTGGGAAACTCAATGAAATCCTGTCTCAAAATAAAAAAAAGAGACGGGGATGTAGCTCTATGTGAGGCTTCAAGTTCAATTCCCAATACTGAGAAAAAGGGAGAGGGGCAAAAATCATTACCTGGGAATCTTTATTCTTGATGATTCTGTAATATATTCATCTAATGTGGTTAACCAAACACTCACTAAGTTATGAGGACTCGTCAAATTTGCTAAAGAAACTATGATGATAAAATTATACATCCTGGGGGGAAAAATATTCATGAGATAACATGACAGACAACTGTCAGCTTTCAATTCCAGTGAAGTAGAAGACAGAGTTAAAACCTGTTCATTAATCACATTATTCCAAAATTAGCAGTTACTGTCAGAACTATTAAAATGGGGCGAGAAAAAGAACAAATAAGAGACAGTGCTGGGAAACAAATATTTAATGATACATCACTCTTCAGGGAAATGATTACAGGGCATTTGGAAACTAACCCAAGAACACACAACCATGCAGCACAGATCTAAACTAGTTTCTTACCACAACTACCCTGTAAACTGTACCCTTTTTCTCTCCAAAATGACTCTCATCTCACATGAAAATAGTTGCCAGAAGGGAAACGAAAAACCTAGCTTTGTGGCCAAAAGTAAAAACCAAAGGACAAATAACAATTCGTTGGTTAACTGGTAAAAGCAGAGAATCGGGTGCCCTTCACTGTGCTGTCTTGGCCTTCTTATTCTTGTTCTTTTTGTCTCTCTTCTTCAGCCCATCCATGTTAGCTCTCAACAGGTTTGAATAGGCCTGAAAGACAGAGATGACCTTAGCAGGAACAGATACAAACTGGGTGAATGCCCTGTTTCCACAATGGACTTCAGTAGCCAGAGACAGACCTTACCAGATGAAGAGCTTAACACCATGGGACACTTACACTGGGAAATCATTTAAGCATAAAACACTCTCACACGACAGTTTTGCAATACTCACCCACAGTGAAGTCATTTTTTTTTAATTAAAAAAAAAAGTACAGGCAATTTCTTATTTGACTGTACTATAGGTGGAGCATATCTGAAGTCTGAGGCAAGAAAATCTAACTAAAAACCAAAAACAGACAATATCATTGTTGAAATTCACAGCCTGGCAGCTCTTACTTGAAAAACTGGTGAAACTTATCACAGGAGACCAATGAACCGGAGCACCCTGTTCTATCACTTCAGTACTGTGCTGACGCTTCCCCTGAGGAGCTACTCACCATCTGAAACTTATTCACTTCTTTGGAGCTCACCTGGAAAAGGACAGGGAGAAAGGATATCACTCCTATTTATTCATATAAGTATCCTCTTCGCTCCACCCCAGGTAATATCTCAAAGCCCCATGAAGACAGTGTCCTAGAAGAGATTATTCTTGTTTTTGTGGTGCTAGAGTTTGAACCCAGGCCCCTGTGCACGTCAGCAAGCATCCTACTGGTGAGCTACACCCCACTTTAATCTGTAAAATACTTCCCAACTGTACAAGTTGCACTAAATGGTTGCTCCATTTCCCTCTGCCTGAGGAACAAGCAAAGCAGCTCTGTGCCTTTTTCCATATAACAAGGGCACCAACATGGGCAGGCAGGAGTAGACTCCTGCAGAAGCTGGCTTTTTCCCCTCTACTGAAATGCCCAGTACAGGTGGCCCTGACTTTTCTCCCTAGGCTCTGAAAAATGTCAAAGGACTTCTCAGTATCTTTTGTGCAAAATTCACTAAAACTACTCCCTGTCCATTAATTCAGACTGAATTAAGCAATACAAGCTACCACAAGACGGATGCTACCTCTGAACCTCTGAAGAAGATTCCTACAGTTTCTTTATTGCATGATATCCAACTTTATTTTTAAAGACCACATAAACTTGCTTTATTGTAAAAATTTTTTCAAGCTAATTTTAAGGCTGCAGTAGAAGGATCACCACAAATGCCAGGCAAACCTGGGCTACATAGTAAGTTCAAGGCCAGTCTGAACTACACAGTGAGAACCTATCACAAGATAACGTGTAAAGGGAAACTTAGCAACTAATTATTATCTATATTCTCATGAGTATCCTCCAGTAATGTGAATAGAGGTCAATCTTGTTCCACCCTGGCAAAAAAAGAATCTGGGGTGTCTTCACTTTGGAAGGTTGATGCAGGAGATCTTAAGTTCAAGGCCAGCTTGAGCAATTTAGCTAACTCCTGTCTCAAAATTGGGGATGTAGCTAAGTATGAAGGCCCTGGATTCAACCCTGAGCCCACGAAGTCTTCCTGTGCCATACTGTATTCAAACCAGAAAGGAAACACTTAAGACTGACGACTAACTGTATATTCTCTCAAGTACCAAGCCCAGCATGCTCGCTATGAGAACTACAAAGAGAATAATCAGCCTAAATATAAAAGAATCAAAAATAAATAAATGAATCGCTTGATGCTAAGAAGACCCAGCACAGTAGGGACATAAGGAAGTAACGCCAACTCCTCCTTACAGCACTTACTCTAATGTAATAATATGCTATTTTATTACAGTAAATACGCTATTTTATTTCATAGTAATAAATATGCTATTTTATTTCTACAGAAACTTTAACCAAACAAGTGTTTGACCTCTACCTTTATTTTAATTTTACTGTTGAGGTTTCCACTACTAAAGTAATGAAGAAACGTCCCAGTCCCAAAACAGACTGGGAAATACACATCATCAACCTTTTAAAAAAAAAGTCTGTTCAGATGTGCCCCATCCTCAGTTCAAGTACTTCTAAACTCCAAAATGTTGTCTTAAGAATCCAGCTCACAGGACTGTTAGTAACTCTGGTAGACGCTTGTCTAGCAACCCGTGAGGCCCTGGGTTCAATTCCCAGCACCGCCAAAAAAGCAACAAAAACCAGGAAAGACTTCAGCTCACCACAGTGCTGATCTTCTTTTTCCCATCCGTCGCTCTCAACAGACATTTGTTATCTGAAGGCTCGAAGCCCTCCACAGAACCCTTCTTCGGGATGGATCTAGTTCGACCATCATCTGCATGAAAAATATACCCGGTAAACACACCCACACAGATTAACGATAGGCGGACAGAAAGCTAAACAGGAGAGAAGGACACAAAGAGATGACCTCATCCACCGTCACTGCTCTAATGCGACCCACACCACCCGCTATCACAGGGTCTGGCCAAACCTTGGAGAAACCACTAGATCCACGATGAGAACGTCGTAACATCCAAACACCGGGCGGGTCCTACCAACGATCTCGGGCGGGCGGGCTCTCCGCGCGGTCGGGGCTGGGGGGCTACGCGCCGGGGGCCGCACCGCCCCTCGGTTCCCGACCCTCCCGGGGCGCCAACCCCAGGCGCGCGGCGCCCAGGCCCGCCAGCGAGCGGCCTCCGGGCGCGCCTCGCGGCTCCCTCCGGCCCTGCCGCGGCGGCCGCTTACATTTTTTCAGGGTGATGAACACGCTGCCCGACGTCCGGCACTTCTGGAAGAGCCTGGTCAGCTCAGTCAGGAACTGCAACACAAGAAGCCCGGCCCCGTTAGGCAGCCACGAACCCTCGCCCCGCCGTGGCAAGTACCTCCCGCAAAAGGACACAGTGGCTCCGAGCTAAACCCCCAACTGCATCCACCCCTGGACAGCCAGCTCGGGCTGCACCTGCTCGCTCTCCAGCAGCACCATCCTGGCGGTACCCGATACAATCCTTCCGCAGAAACCTAAAACAGTTAGAGCCGGAAGTTTTACCTTCGGTGGGCGGGACTTCCGCTGTTTGTTGCCGGGTCGTCCATCAATCACTGCCTCCCTTGCCCGCCTCGCGCTTGCGCCCTGGGCTGCGCCCGCCCCGACCGGTGCTGGGCGGCTAAGGGACCTTGAGGCCTGGTGGGCTGTCCTGGGGTTTTATAAATCTCACCCTAATCAGACTGAAACAATGAGAGCATGAGATAGGCACCTATACTTACATATTCCGCTGTATTCTGAGCAAGTCACCTCCATATTCTCATCCTTAAAATAAGGGTGACAGTATCAACTTCACTGTGTGATTGTAATGATTAAAAATTTATATTAACAGGGGCTGGGGGTTTAGTTCAGCGGCACAGCGCCTGCCTGGCAAGCACAACATCGCGAGTTCGATTCCCGGTACCGGAAAAAACCAAAAAGAATTTATATTAACACCCAGAACATTGGTACATAGAAAGTGTTTTCTTAAGCAAGCAGCTCTTTTGATGTAGTATAGAAGAAACAAAGCTAGGTAGAAAGCAAACAAGGAAAATTTCAATTTTAAGAGGACTGCAGCTTCAGGACAAAAAGTTATCCAAGATTTTGATGCCCCCCCCTTCCAGGAAACTAAAAAAAGAAAATCCTAAGAAACTTAATAGATACAATAACCCTGTAAATTGGACCCATGCGTTTCACCTGTAAATTGAGCCTGGGCTTTTCTAATACTATAGATTCATAATTCGACAGAGGTCCACCCTCAAGAAAGCAGCACTGTTCAATGATCTGCTGTCTAAATTTCAAACACATGCAGATGGTTTGCATTCTAACCACTCTACTAAGGACCAACCTGACAGACACCAGGAGTACATGAGTACAAGTCCTAGATTATGTCTTTACACTTGCAAGTTCCGGGTCTTAGGACAGAGACATCTTTGGGAGCCATCCCTCCTAGCACAGAGCTTACTGAAGAGGTTCAAGGGCTAGCACATTTGCAGTGGGTTAGGGTATATTTTGAAAATACAGTCACTATGACTCGCGGGATTGGATGTGAGCATTAAGAAGAAAAGAGGAATCAGATGATTTGTGAATTTTAGAGTTTTGTTGTTGTTTCTTGGTTTTTTGAGACAATGTAGTTCAGGCTGGACTTAAATTCACTATATAGCCCAGACTGACCTCAAACTTGTGATCCTCCTGCCTCAGCCTCTGTAGTGCTGGGATCACAGGTGCATCTCACCATGCCTGGCCTATTTATGAGTTTTTTAAGTAACTGGATAGAGAAACTGTGTGTGGCACTAAATAGGAAAGATATGAGAAGTAAAAGGTTTTACAGAAAGGTAGAGGTTTTTTTTCACCACTGGGGATTGAACCCACAGTCTTCACACTGATCTACATGCCTATTCCTTTTTTATTTTATTTTGAAAGAATCTCTTGCTAAATGGTGAAGTTGCCCAATCTGGGGCTCAAACTTGTGATTTTCCTACCTCAGTATCCCAAATGCCTATGAGGCAGGAGATTGGGGCATGGCCAACCTGCTAGGCAAGTGGGCATGACCTGTCAATCATGGAGATCCAGGACACATGGGCCCAAATCTTGTGGGACCAATCAGAAAGTTCCATCTTCAGTTCTTCTGGCTCAAGATCGAGCAGATTTTTGATGGGACAGCAGAGATCTGACATCAGAGTAGGGGGGATACAAAAGCCAGTGGCCATTAACCCTTTTCTACACTGTGCACTCTCTTTCAGTGGCCTGCTCTCACCCTACAGAGTACATTTCTTTTCCTACTTTAACACATTCTCACTGGCTTGAACCACTGGTGATACAAGTGTGATTGTCCCATCAGGTGGTTTTTTATTAATTTTATTAGTAAAAAGACCAATAAAGTAATTAGAACCATTTGTACCACCAGTGGTACGAGCTGCCAGATGGGGCAGTCATTGTATATACCACAGTGGTTCAAGCCACCTGGCAGCGAAACATACAAATTACGGCCCCGTTGTGAATGTATTAATTGGCCCGCATTCACTCTGCAGAGTATATTTCTTTCCTACCTTTAATAAATGTAAAACCCCTTTACCCTTTGCAAATGTCTTGACCAGTTCTTTGTCCAGGACAGGACACTGCATAGAATCTCTAGAAGGAGCCCACAGCACGCTAGAACCCCAGCAACACTGGGATTACACGTACACAACTGTGGCCAGTGAAAGATAAGTTTCAGTTTGGTCATTTAATACATGAGCTGCCTATGGTATGTCTAAGCAGAACTATCAAGCAGCTCAGTATACAAGCTTGGAGTTTAATAAATATGTAAAAGCTATAAATAAAAATTGGCAACTAGGCATGGTGCCACAGGTCTGTAATCCCAGCTATTCAGGAAACAAGCAGGAAGATCAAAAATTTAAGCCCAGTCTGGACAATTTAGGGAGAACCTGTCTCAAAATAAAAATAAGTAAATAAAAAGAGCTAGGAATGTAGCTCTGTGGGAAGGGACTGAGTTCAAGCCCCAGTACCAAAGGAAATAAAACAAGAAAGAAAAATATCAACAGTCATGCTGATGACCCCGGGTAAAGTCTTGCAGCCATCCCATCACAGAAGCAATCATTTGGGTAACACAAATGCTCACGTCTGTGTAGCAGGACCCCTGGGCCAGTACCATTCAACTGATGACAGTGTTCTTTGATTTCTACTTTTCTCTGGAAATGACTAAGAGCACCTGTTTGGAATTCAGAAGGATCTGGGCTTAGATTCCAATTCCACTACCTTTCAGCTATATGCCCTCACAGAAGAGTGATGGTAATTGCTTATTCACTGATGTCATAAAGATTTTATAAAATACCACATAAAAGACCCTTAGGCTTGCTCTTATATGGTAAATATGGATATATAAATTTAAATGAATTAAAATTAACTTGAAAATAATTTAATTCCTCAGTCATTTTAGCAACACTTCAAGCATTCAATAGCCACACATGGCTTGGACAATGCAGACAATCTGTTGGATAATGCTAGCAGCAGTAGCAAAGAGCCTAGTAGGTAATAAGTGCTCAATAAAAGTACCAGTGTTACCATTTGTGGACCACACACTTTCCATCACTTCGACATTGCCATGGTGGTTTCTGCTAATACCCTATGCCATCTGGACTGTTAATGTTTTTCTTCAAATTGAATCATTTAATACTTAAGTATATCTAATATTATCATAACATGAAATTAGTATCATTTGCCATAAACAAAAAAATAAAATGAAATAAAATGTTGCTTAATTTAAAATGGTTAGATTTAAACCTTTAAATCTATGAATGAAAATCTAATGCTGGAATAAAAAGAAGAAGAAAGGAAAAAAAATTTTTTAAATGAGGGTTGAGGGGAAGGGGAAAAATGATGTAGCATGTACATGTGCCAGTGGCTCGCAATGCTTGTAATCACTGTGTACTGCACACATATACTGATGAAAATTTTTAATAAAAAGTGTAGACCTTGGGGCTGGGGATTTAGCTCAGCGGCACAGCGCCTGCCTGACAAGCACAAGGTCGTGAGTTCAACTCCCGGTACCGGAAAAAAAACAAAAACAAAAAAAAAAAAGTGTAGACCTAGTAAAATAGGCCTAGTTGACTTATAAGATTATATCTGAGAATAAATTCCTCAATGAGAAAAATGGTATTGTTTATGATCAATCAGGAATAAAGGTCGCTCGGGGTACAATGAAATCAAGAGTTTACATCAAAAGTCATGGTTAAATTTTGATGCTAACAACGAAAATCCTAACTCACAATTATGTGTGATTATGGTGATCTACTGTTAACATGTAATTAAGGTGCATAATAGAGGTTAATGGCTTTTGGCCCTTGGAACAGAGATGTGTGTGCATGTATGCACGTGCACGTGCACGTGCGTGTGTGTGTGTGCACCCCAAAACACATCTGCCTGGCCCTGGCCCTGGCCCTGGCCCTGGCCCTGGCCCTGAAAGGAAATGGCTCCCCAGTCCCTTCCCTTCCCACACCACAGGGCCTTCAGCAAGTCCTCGGCAGCACTTACGGTAGAATAGAGCCCTCAGCACACAGCACTGGCACTTACGGTAGAATAGAGCCCTCAGCACACAGCACTGGCACTTACGGTAGAATAGAGCCCTCAGCACACAGCACTGGCATCTGCTTGGAGCAGCCTTGGTCACTGCCCCAAGTACAGAGCTGCCACAGGAAGGCCAGCAAGCAAAACTTATCCTATGCTCCTCAGCGGCCAGGGGGATGCTAAGGGCCTGAATGGACACTCTTGCAGGTACCTCCAAAGATCATCTTGTCAAAAATGTTGGAGCCCCATGCATCCTTTCCTCAGACAGAGCGCCATTTAATTTATTAGGCTTAATTGGCATTAGGTTTGAATTAGGGCCAAGGGTCTTATTAAGGTTAGGGCTAATGAAATTACAGCTGTGATTACTCTGGAGCAATTAGGCTTTGCAGTTCCTGGAAGGTGTGACGGCTAAAACACAGTCACTACTTCCTCCTCGCCTGAGTTGCAATCCCAGCTCTACCTCTCCTTTTCTGACTGAAGATAAATTTACAGGCTCCCTGTTAAAAGATAATTTTAAAGGTGAAATTAACCTCTCATTACCCATATTAAAGATCTGTTTAACTTTTTAGTAATAAGGAAACCAGATAGATGTTACAACACATTCAGAGGAGAAGCCACCAAACAAGACACTTTTTTTTTTCAGACATGGCAAAATGTTTAATGTCTGTAGGTGTACCTCACCCTCACGTTCCCACTATGGTTCCACGGCCTCCACAAACTGTCACACCGCTGAACTGGCAGTACCGCAGGAACCCTGGGCACGTTCTTTCAGCAGGGTTTGGAAACCATCACGCTCCTAGTCCCCTTGATCTGGAAATCAGCAGGTGATGTCTTTCCACAGCATGCTCAGGAGCCAACACTACCATCCTACAGGACTCCTGAGCTCTTCTGTTCTCGGTTGGCCCGGGCCGGGCGCTGTGCAGCCGCAGGTAGGGTAGCGGACACAGGAGAGGTAGCGCCCATCGCAGTGAGGAGCTGCGTGAAGGC